TCTTAAGTGTCAAAAAATGTTTAACTGAAAGCGTTTTTTGAGCGTCTACGTCTTTTCCTTTTATTAACATGAAACAAGTCAGTTAATAAACGCTTGTTTATTACTTGTTTTGTTGCATTAGACTCAATCGCACGATACCAACATAGAATAATCAATTTATTGCATATAGTACTTTTTTATATTCAACGAAGAAAGTGCTCACTCTAAACTTATTTAGTATTGTACCAACTTTGCGAATTCAAGTTACATTAATTAGAGAAGGTCCTTTTCCATTTCTTGTACGAAGTTGATGCAATACGAAATAAATGTAGAGTGAGCACTCTCTTCGTTGAATATATAAAAGATAAACATTTGATGTAAATATAAAATTTATTCTTTTCTTATTTCATTCTTTAAACATTTTATTCTTAAAACATTAAAATGTTTTCTTTTATACACGAATCTTTTTCGATTGCTTCGACTGTGGTGAACTGCTTTTGATGTTTTTTCATAAACAGAAGCATTTTAGTATTACATCCAAAGCGCTTTAAATCATCCAACCAATTCCTTAATCCCCTGTTAACCAACGCAACATCCCCAACGTCCAACCGATCAAGAAACCTTTGTGAGTTATTGTATATCATGTTTTTGTTTTTTCGGAAGCGTTGTTCTTTCCATCTGCAAACAAAAACACACACGTCCTTTGGCTCACCAATTACTGGCGGATAATGATCATAATAAAGTAGTAATAATTCTAGATGGAATGTCTGCGTACATCCCATGTGTACATCAAGAAGAGTTAAAACAACGTGCTGCAATGGAGAACCTATAGTTTACGTAAGAACAAGCCGTTGGTGAAGTTTATGATGTGCGATCAACGGATGCGGTGTCAAATCCATTTTTTGCAGATGGAAAGAATAACGCTTCTGAAATAACAAAAACATGATATACAATAACTCACAAAGGTTTCTTGATCGGTTGGACGTTGGGGATGTTGTATTTGTTAACGGAGGATTAAGCGACTGGTTGGATGATTTAAAGCACTTCAGATGCAACACTAAAATGCCTCTGTTTATGAAAAAACATCAAAAGCAGTACACCACAGTCGAAGCAAATCATACGAGAATGATAACCAAAATGTCGTTCTGTTTCTTCTAGTTAACAAGAAACTTTTTTAATATTCTGTTGAAATACAGACGTGCTAGCAATTCAATTAGTCGGGATTCCGGCTGGAAACAGATTTCCTGTAAGTACGGCGCAACAATGATAGCTTTTTTAAAATTAGAAGGTCAACCGATTCCAACTGTAAATGTCTAGCGTAATACGAAAGAGGGAGAGAAAAAGAAGATATCACTAAATAGTGTCTTAAGTTAAAATCCTAATGATGCTACATTGCAGCTATTTCAGATAAGAAATATTGTTCTGAAAGACAAAGGAGAGTATTTGTTGGAAGCAGAGAACAGTAAAGGCTTTAGCAAAACAGACATTGTCATTAAGTTACAAGTTATTACTGGTAAAAGATGGATCTTCTTTTTGTTTGTAGGTTTCTGTTTCTTTTTGCTTCTAGAGAAACCAACATTAACGTGTCTCAATACTACACCAGTTGATGTCCAATTATACTCAGAAAATGTTCAGCTCACTTGTACCAAAATCGAACATCGCATCGCACACAATTCTGTCATCTCGACTAAATCTATTTGATACCATCCACGTTACATAAATGTGTTGGCGCAAATAACGAGATATACCTCATTCGATGCAGTTTTGAACGCTGAACCCTATGTCGCAAATCCTAGGTTTCGAGTTTTTTGCAAAAAAGTTACAGTCAGAATACTCTACTAGCGAAAAGTGAATTTTTCATCAGAAACCACCTAACATCATGAGCTTCTGACGACCACGGTCTCTTTGCTGCAATTCTGCAGCATCTGGACTCAAACGAAAGATTTCGACGAGAATTCCACTGATGTCAATCAAAAAATTTGATGACTGATGTCTAGGTATCGAAAAAAGATCCGTGAAGAGCTCAACACCCCTGTGCACGACACTCAGACGCAAGAAATGTAGCAAATTTAGTTTTCTAAATTTTATCTCCCTGGCCCAACTTTGTACAAATTGATCTTCATAGTGAAAAACGGTACTTACTGTTTTCCATCATAAAGAACGATTTCTTAAAATCTGGTCCCAACACATAAAATTTAGAAATTAAATTTGCCACACTTTATGTTCGAGACACAACCCTCGACAACCTACAACCATACAATTGGGGAAGCGCTCTAGAGCTTTTCTACTAGGGACGTCTGGTAGCCCATTCAAATTTCTTCAAAATGAGACGTCAATCAAGCTTCCACGAACATTAGGAAAATAGTTATAAAGCAAATACGGTAATAACAAATAGTCGTAGAAACTTGGTTGACGTCTGGGTTTGAAGGGAATTGAACGGGCTATCAGTTCCGGCGATTAAAAAATGTTCTGATTCTAGGGTTCTTTGAAGTTTTCTGGAACGCAGGATTTTCAGAAAATCAGGATTGTGCGAGACATCCTCTGGTCGCTATGAGCCCAGAAGTTTAGTCACATCTGCTTGAAAATGAAGAAGAATCTCGTTTTTCGCTGAGGGTGTATTTTGGCACCGAGTGAGGGACTTTTCAGACTTGAAACCGAATTGTTTAGAACCGAATCATCTGGCAAATTCCGTGTTTTCAAAAGGGAGCTGTTTCCGTTCTAAGACGACTTTGAGCTTCGAGATGGGTCCCTTCTCGAACTTGCATTTTGCAGAGTTTTTAATTCTTTACAAAATCCATACAAAAACTTTGATAAAAGTTTCACCACATGGAGAATTTTTGAAATAAAGTTAGAAAGAGACGAAAAACCTCAGCTTCCTATTTTCGATTTTTCGTGTTACGTAATTGACATTTTTGAACTCTCTTCTCTTCCGCTGTTTGCTTTCGATCAGCAACAGTACCATCAGTACTACTGCCACCTGCAGCTCCATTAGCCATGTGCTCCTGTAACTTATTTGCGAGAGCTTATTGCTCATCTTCACTTATTTGACTTAAAAAACTTTGAATATCTTCCATACTCATATTATCTAAATCAAAATTGCGTTTTACTTTGAAGACGAAGTGACGACTACGGTTAACGTTCAGTAATGCCGCTGTCCACAACATGAAAAAGCTGTAGAGGAAAAAATAAATAAAATTCATTTCTTAATGTTTGCTTTTTGAAAATTGAAAAAAACAATCAGAATAATAGTCACATTTTTGTCAGATTCACGTCTTTGGAAAGAAAAAACGAGAAGATTTGTGTTTAAAAAGAGCTGCCTTCTCTTTTTGATGTTATGAACGTAAAAGTAAAATCGTGTGCGTTTCGACAAAACTGAAAAGTCACAACTTTTTTCCGATATTTTTAATGACACTAGTTTTCGACAAGAAAGTTCATTGGTAGTAAAACGCACAAAAAAGAGCAGGCAGAACAGTAGCAGTAAACAAACGAAGTTTATGAGGTTTCAACTTTGCAGCAGCTATACTCTCCGTAGAAGTTTCAGCTGATGACATTCTTGTTGTCAGAGGACCTGTCGTAGTGCTACTAATGGTACCTGTCGTAGTGCTACTAGTGGTCCTCGTAGTTGTTGTAGTCGTAGTAGATGTAGTACTGGTGGTAGTCGAAGTAGTCGTAGTGGGAGAAGGAATGATCTGCGCACACTGTTGAACCAAAATATCGTCGAACGCAACAGCGACTAACATTGTTGACGGTGTTAGCTGTGCAGTGTCAAAGTATAGTGTTGCCGCACAGGCAAACGGCGGTTCATCCAAGGAAATATTGACTGTCTGCCACCCGTTGCTGTCATCCAAAGCCATTCGCCACAGATACTCAGCATAGCAACCACCGATCGAAATGCTCAGTAGAGTTGAATTATTCCTTAGTGTAGACCAGGAGGAATTAACGTAGTAGGAGAATTTGAGACACATTCCATTATTTACTTCAAATGGCAACGTTAGAATTCGTCCCCAAGGATGTGGCTGAAGAGGATAGGTATAGTTCCAGTAGAGAAATGTTCCATTCGTCGAATTCGTAGTGTGATCAGTAAGAGGACCTATTTCTCTGTCAGGAACAGTTTCGCCAGTCATCAGCGTGTAATTGTACTGAGATGGTTGTGGTTTAGGTATTTTGTTGGGATCATTCTGCATTCCACACAGAGAATCTTCGTCAAAGTCACATTTAAAGTTCAAGTAGCTTGGATTCGAGTCTAACGGAGACGAATTTATCGCACAGGTACTGATGAGAATATTGTCAATAGCAAATGAACCAACATTTGTCTGACGATTATCCATACGGAAGAGGAGAGAGTAGTTGCCAAGAGGAAGGTTAACAATGGACCATGTCCTAGAAAAAACAAAATCTTAGAGTATATATTTTCGCTTGGAAATGGGAGACACTTGTGAGAAGACATATTTGTCTCCATGACGGAGTTTGTGATGCTGAATACGTGTTTCACTTTAAACGGTTTTTTCAACAAAACGGATGGAACCGCGTGCGCATCGGAAAATCCGGTGTTTTCAAAGGTATAAACAGAGCCCTTAGTTCTGATCGAGTGTGCACACCCAATGAAAAGTTTGTATCTTTTCCTGTCAGCGGAACGTTTTCGTTTTTGGCTCTCCCAACGAAAAATTTTATTCTTATATCTCCCGAAACATTTTTGATGCGCAAAGTTGGACTATTATTCAGGTTCTCCGAAATTGACAAATGTGCGTTCTCACCGTAATTACGTGTCACTGATAGGTCCTAGATAACTGATGAGTACTGAACTTACCATTTATATTGTATGTACCTGAAAACAGAGATGAATTGTAGAACAGCTGATTTGACTACCAAATTGAGATTACTCACTGGTATCCGTGTTCGTTGTTCCTTGGTGGCCATAGATGATGTAATTCATTTCCATCTTCTAGCAGAGCAAACACATTCAAATACGAATAATAAGTGTTGCGACGAAATGTAAAGTATTGAAAATTCAGACAGTACGTCTCATTCTCCGCTGTAAAATGAAATGTTTTGTTTATCCTAAAGTATCCGGCACCGCCCTCGATCTGTTTTTGTCCATCTTTATCATTGAAATCGAGCCAATAGTAATGACCTTCGGCTGTGCCAAGGGTGTAGTCTACAGGCGGAGCATCTGCCTCCTTTTGCAGGGCATCACTGGCTTTGATTCGTGTCCACGCGTACGGATAATAGGGCAAAGACTGAATGTTGTAAGTATCATTAGCATCTTCAAAGTCACACTGGTAGAGAGTTTTCTGTGGCTGTGGCAGTGGTCCGAGACAGTAGTCGACTGAAAGATCATCCAGTAAGAGTGGACCAGCTGTGTAGTTCAAACTAATTGCGATACGAAATCTTTCAGATGGTAACGGTACTGTTACTTGTGTCCAGTTCCGTGTTGTGTTCTGTATCACCATTACTTGCTGTTCAATATCATTTTGATCGCCTCTGTCCAAGACAAGGTAAACTGACATTGCTATGCGCACCTTGTAGTACCAGAGACTTAGACACATGAGTTTGTCGGTTGGTGACTCTACGTAAGACTTTGTTGTTATTCTGCTAAATTCACCTGGTTGCAGTGTTGGTTCATAGAACAGGTAGTGTCCAGTTGCATTGAGATAGGTGTGATCGTAGGCGAGAGGATGTGGATGAAAACCATCCGTTGAACCCCAATTATTGTCAATTACAAAATCCGTACAAGCCGTTTCAAAATCACATTTTAATGCCAGTTGGCTTTGTCTTAATGCAGAATGACGCTGAAGAAGCGATAATAGTGTGAGAGCAGAATACAAGAAAAACATTTTTAGCTGAGAAGAACCTTCAACGACTAGCATTAGTTTATTGACTGAAATTCGCACTATTTATTAATGAAAGATGTTGAGGTGTTTCACAAGAGTTGTGCAACAACACTCAGAACAGAGAAAGATAACGGTAACACACACATCTATTTCACCTTGATGAGGTCATGATCTTTTTAATGCTGGTCATCATCCTTGTTGAAATACTTGAAGACACGAACGAAGTTGGAAGAACATGTATGCATATAGCAGACGCAGAAGGTAAATCAACTAAAACACTCATAATGCCTAAAAATTGTATACTAACACTGTATAAGAAAAACCTTTCATGAATTTTTCTTCAAAATCAAACTGTTACAACAAAATTTACAAAATAAAAAGAAGTAGAAAAATATATTTGTGAAACCTAGGATCATATAAAAAATGTCGGCACCATCAGCATTAGCGGAAAACAAAAATGTGATGGCAAGTGGATGGGAAGGTTCAGTGGGTAAGGTAGCGATGAAATCGACGCAGCATGGATAATCAACTATGGCGAATTAGATAGTGACCATGGGCGACACCTAGGAACGCTCATACTGATTAAAGCGCCTTTGATAAGCTCACTGGACAAATATGAGAAAGAGGGCAATATCAGTTTGTTGCCTAGATCACACATCGGTATGCACTGGGCTACCCCAACGGCGAAAGGACATAATACCGTAATTATCAAAACATGAAAGTAACTGCGCATTTCCCACTACTGGACAATTTCAATTTATATGTGTGTCATAGATCAAAAGGGATCGGATCGCACCGGTTCTGAGTCAACGTGAAACAATTGATTCGAATCGAATGAGACGAAAAGAATTTCGGATTTTATTGGAGTGGTGCTTCTAGAAAACACATGAGGAGATTTTCTTCGGTTATGTTTCACTCATTTATTTTCAACATGTGTCATTTTCATCAAAAAAGAATGATTTCCCTTTCTCTCGCGATGTTAATGTAGACTACAGTCTACTGAAGCAAAGAAAGAAAAGAAAAATATACTCTATCTGTCCGTAACTGATATTTTGAGCAAATGACAGTTTCACATTCGCCGCGAATTCAACAGTACCGCTATTGAACAGTACACACATCATAAGTCAATTTAGCCGCGAAACTCCAAAACATAAGAGAAGTTAATTTTGCGCCAACCCTCAAAAATTCAATAAAAATTAATTCCGTGATTAAATCATATCTCCTACTGTAGTCTACCCTCGCCTACCCTCATAGACTGGGTAGTCAAAAATACGGCAGAAGTCAATTTCGCGCCGAAATCATATCTCCTACTTTCATCTACCCTCATCCACTCTCATCTACTCTTGGCGGTAGATGAGGGTAGGAGACTTGATTTCGACGCGAACTTAACTTCTGCTTGATTTTGACTTCGCCGCGAAATTACCTTCTACTATGCTTTTGCTTTCGCAACGAATGGGAGTAGATGAGATATGGAGATTTGATTTCGCCCTGAAAGTAACTTTATTGGGCTCGCGAACCGTCTCTTAAATGAAGCGAAAAAATGAATTTTTTCGGCAAGTCTACTCACAGTTACTTTAAAGCTTTTTTGAAGTAAGCCAAAAGAACCAGCGTCCTTCAAAACCGTTAAGCATCAAGAGGATTTATTTGTAGTTCAACCGTTTTAGCGATGAGTTTCTCATCTAGCAAAAGTATTGATTTTGAATGCAAAAAAAGTTTCAATTCAGGTTGGAGACCGGTGGTAAACGCGTCATCCATTTGTCTAGTTCGTAAATAACTGTTTTCTTATTTACTAACCATGGTCTCATTTTGTAGCAATCATGACTGTGTCTAAGAGCCCAAACATTTGGTAATCGGGTTCGTTTTCTATTGGATGGCAGAACGAAAACCTTTTCATTTCGCTCACCACACTCTGAACGTTCATACGGTAATTTAATTACTATCTTATCTCGTTTTAGTGCTTCTTCCACTTCGACATCACTTCTAAAAATTATCAGATACACACCGCATAACGACAACAGTTCATTGGACAAATCATGTCCATCGGTATCGCATTCCTCCAGACTCTAAAGCTTCTGTCAAATTACCGAGACACATGTAAGTCACTGCCAGCAGGATTAATGAATTTGATTTATACTGATTTCGTTTATCTCGACACACTTGTTTGGTTACATTGATATGACGAGCTGCCTCATCCCACCGGTTGATCATTCGATATTGCTGAAATAGAGTATAAAATACGATAACAATTGAATCAAACTGAATTTTATTCAGATTGAGCCGACTAAGTAAAAATACTAAAATGGGACAGGTTACGCCTGCTGAAGTTGAATAAGATAATACATTGTTAGACCAATAGTCATCATCGCTTTTCAAGGCTGAAATAATCGATGCCATTGTGTCGATTGCTTCTGTGTAACGTCCAAATAGAAAATAGCAAGAATAGCCCATTGCAGTTCTAGTCTTCATTGAATTGGACAGTTTCAATGATGCATCGAACATTGATTTGACCTGATTAAAACATGTATCTACTCTTTTTTTTCAGATCTGTGACACGATTATAATCGATATTAACACTGATAGGATCATTTTTATCCATACTAAACAACTTATATTTCAATGCATTTATTATTGTACATTTATACCAAGCCGCCTGATAAAATACGTCGGCCAGTAGCCCATCTTCGAACTCGAAGACCTTAAACGATCTACTGTATACTGTGTGTCATTATGGATATCAATTAATGAAATGCATATTCGTTTGAGTATAAATTCCAATATAGAACGTACGCGTTCCTTTTTTACAAATAAATAATTATAATCGATAGCATTTTTCGTGAAGAACGGTATTTGTATCATTTCCTCATCGATATGGTCCTCTTCATCTAGAACAAGTAAATGGATCAAGAAACGGTGAATTATCTACAATGCATTAAATTTACTCTCATCTAATGAGATGTAGTTAAAGTACGTCCAGATTTCTTTCTACCTGCAAACCTCTTTCAAATCCGTCTCTCTCTATATCGACGTCCATGATATAGAAAAAATTTTCTCTTGGAAGAGAAGATTTTGTAGAACAGAACCTTTTGCGTGGCGAAAGGTGTTAATTTTTCTAGAAAAGGTCAAGCCTTTTTTTATAATTTGGCTGTTTGTTTCTAATATTTTTTGAATGCATACTGTTGTTCAGTAGAGTTTTCTGTGAAAAATGATCTTTGTACTCGCGGTTAAGACGCTTACAACAGAAGTGAGACCAAATGGCTTTTAAGGCTTTGCGAGTGGTTAGAGAAATCAGCTATAAACGGAATATGGTTTAATCTTTCTCCAGGTGAGATGACCCGGATCAGTCTCAAACAATGAGCTCTTGTCTTACACGAGCAGAAATTGTTTTAATCTAGTATTTCGTTTAGTGGATCAGTAGTGTAAAGTTGAGTATGTCATTGACAATGAGAATTTCGAAAGTTAGATGCAGCAGGACTATAGCTGTTTGAACTCACTTCACTTCCACCTGAAACCTGAATGTATAAGATACTTTTTTGTTCCAAAGGTATATATTGATTTTGACTTTCGGATAGCAGCCCCGTAGATATTCTTCATTTCACGCAAAAAACGACATATATATGAATGAAAGTGTCGAATTAGGAAATTAAGAGACATCAGTTCATTCTAGTCCTGTTACTTTAGTTAGTATGAGTACGGACTCAAATATTTTTAAAGCTATTAACGAGCTCGACTCTCATCTACACCGTTCTCTAAAAAGGTTTTACATAATCAAAAATTGAGTAAAAATACAAGGTAAGCATAAAACAGTGACTGTCGAAATGAGGCAAGTAACTCCAGTAATTACATATCGTTTTTTTCTCATGTTACGTATCAATGTATTATAATTCCTTGTATAGGAGAATTGTTTACTCTTCAAGAAGAACTACCGATCAAATCCTTATAGGATATTCCCCATATGAAACTTTAATTTTTAAAATCCTAAACTTTATTTCGAAACGATTAAAAGGTTTTATTTTTCCACTTGTTTGATTCATGTATAACTTAGAAGGTTTGACTAAAGTTCACTTCAGTCGAAATTATAACCAGAAAGTATGGTCAATTTTCCAAAATATTTTATAACTTCTGTTAAAAGTTTTATATTTCCATAAGTAGAAATGCTTCTGAGTTATAATAAGATATTGCGAAAGACCTCTTTTCATGATTCTTATATGGCTTTTGATAAGAATTCGAAACTATTCATCTCGGTAACAGTCTGAGAAAAAAGTGCGTTATACCAGTTTTGAATGGAGAATGGAACGAAATCAATTTTATGAATAATTATTTTTGATCATATTTGGCATATTCGTACGCTTTGATACATGGTTTCTTGAAAATTGTGGATAAGCGAAAGAGGCACACGCCGGAAAATCTTTCAACGTCCCTCAGTTTAGATTCGACCACTTTTGTGAATTTGTTCACTTTCCCTCTCCAGCAGTGTTGACGCACTTATGGTATAATCTCTATATCAACTGATTCTTCTACGATCTGATTAAGACCAGACCATATACTGAAGACGACTGTTATTGATTCTAAAACTTTTTCTCCTATTCAGCTTTGTCTGACCATCTCATTATGTTCGTTCTCTG